AAAGCAACATGAAAAAATAATCCACAAATTACAGGTAGACCCTCTGCTGCAATAAGGGAAGCCAGAAAACAGTGAAATAATATTTTCAAAGTGCTGACAGAAAATAACTGTCAACTTACATCCTCAGCACAGCTGTCTTTCAATCACAAAAGCAAAACAAAGACATTTATGGCAAACGAAAGCTGCAATCATCAATAAAGATCTTTATGAAAGAAATGTCCACAGGGTGATTATCAGGAAGAAGAAAAATGATCCCAAGAAGGAAAATCTAAGAGACACAAGAAGAAAAGTTAGCAAAGATAGTTTAAACAGGGGGGTAAATCTAAATAACACCACTTGTATAAAATAGTTTCAATTTCTAATTTGATGTCTTAAAAAAGACAGAAACACTCAAGATGGGAGAGTGATTAGAATTAAAATATATTAAGGATCTATGTATTCTTCCAGAGAGAGAGAACTAAGGCATTGATTATTGACTTTGCCAAGCTTACTTCCAAATTTCAAGAGTGATCACTAAAACAACGGAAGTAAAATGAATAACTTTCAAACTTTCTTCTAAGTAAAGAAAATAGAATGAAAAAACAAAAAATATTCCATCAACCCCCAAAAGCCAAGAAGATAAATGGAAGAAATATAGTAAATGTGAATCAAATAGAAGGGACAAAGTAAGATGGTTAAAAACAAAACAGCCCATATATATCAGTAATCACAGCAAGTGTAATTATACTAATCTTGCCAGTTAAAAATAAGAGTCTTAGACTAAATGAATAATAAAATCCAATTGTACATTGTTTACAAGTAGTACACAAAAAACATACCTAAGGACATGGCACAGTCCTTGGAAGATAAATGTCCATGGAAAATAAAAGGACAGGAAAAACTAACCATGTCAATACTAATCAAAATAGAATTGGGATAGCTGTAATAGTAGCGGATGAGATAGACTTTGAGACAAAAAATCATTCTCATGGATAGAGAATGTCCCAACAGCAGAAGAAACGTTTCAACTCCCCAGGAAGATATAACAATTCTAAAATTGCATATAACTAATAAAATAGCTTCAAATGATATAAATCAAAAGTTGATAGAATCATAGAGTGAAATGGACAAATCCTTTCTCATAGTGGGAGATTTCAACACACCTCTTTCAATTCCTGATAGGTCAAAGAGATTAAAAAAACGAGTAGAAATTCAGTGGCATTTTGTTGTGCAATAATTTCATTTTTTTGAAATAAAATATAAATAACTGCCACTCTGAACATATGGACTTGATCTCATCTCAGTAAAAAACAAAGGAAGCTTATGCTTTATATAAGCTGAGAAGCCTCGTGGTTGTTGTACTTATAATTTTCAGTAAGCATTTTGAAAATTTTAAATTATTTAGAGATCTTCCAAATTATAACCCAATTCCATCCACTAATCTAGTGAAACCCACCCACTTTAAATCTATTAACAGAGAAGATTTGAACACAATTTATAAATTTGATTTAATGAGCATAGAGCAAAATCCGTATCTAATAACATAAGAATATAGATTCTTCTGTAGAACTCATGGAATATTTATGAAAACTGACCAAATGTAGGCCATAGAGCAATTCTCAAGAAATTTATTCTAACAACTGGTATGTGACCACAACAAAATTGACCTTAAAATCAATACATAAAAGTCCTAACATGTCTATACACAGAAATATAAAAATGTAATTACCAAAAAAAACTCCATTTCATTTGATATAGAATAAAAGGAACCTAGCAACAAATAATACTAGAAGCAAGTATTTACATGTTTCTTATTATTTCCCAGAATTGTTCATATGTGCTTTACATATTAATTCATTTACTATTTACAACAGTCCTTTGAAGTGAGCATAATTATTATCCCCATTTTTAAAGATGAAGAAACAGATACAGAGAGGTTATTTAAGTTTACACAGCTGGTAAATGGCAGGATTCAAATTCAGGCAGTTCAGTGCCATATTCTACACGCTTAGCCCCTATTCTTTGCCACTTCTCTAAAGACATGTGAGATCTTTCTGAGGAAATCCATAAAGCTTTATAGAAAGGTATTCTATATATTCTATATAGAAAGGGGTGCCTAGGTGGCTCAGACAGTTAAGCGTCTGCCTTCGGCTTGGGTCATGATCCCAGGGTCCTGGGATCAAGCTCCACATCAGGCTCCTTGCTCAGCAGAGAGCCTCTCCCTCTGCTGCTCCCCCTGCTTGAGCTCTCTCTCCCTATCTCTCTCCCTGTCAAATAAATAAATAAAATCTTGAAAAAAAAAAAAGATATTCACACCTAATAAATCAATGGGATAGACATTTCTGATTTCCTAGAAATCAGACATTTCTTAGAAATCATTAAGATATCAATTCTCTCCAAAATTGTTCCCTAAATTCAATGTAATTTCAATCAAAATCTCAACATGTTTCTTCTAGGAATTCAACAAAATGATGGTAAAATTTATATTGAAAGAGCAAATGGTCAATAGTGCTAAGACATTCCTAGAGAAGAAGAATAATGGCTTGCCCACCAGACTTATTATATACTGTATTAATTGTAGTGTGGTGTTGGCACAGAAATAGATAAATTTGACCAAAGGAACAAAACCTAATTTTTGCTACCACCTACTCTATAAAGAGCTTTCAACTTGTGGAGCAATTGCTCCCTCAAAATATCCAAAAATTTTGGTGAATAATTTTTACCTTTCTCCTCTAAGGTGGTCAGAGACACTAATTTCTGAAATCTGAATTAAGTCTAGTGGTATAATTATTATAGCCAGTTCCAATTTAGAAGAATATGGAACTCCAACAAGACTATTGTACAGAGGGGTCATATAATTTGGCGGGCCAAATCAGGACACCTTTGAGAATGAGAGGGAGTCCTATTTATAATTAAATCATACCTGTAAAACCAGGATGAATAGTCACCCTAATTTCACTCCATTCTGTGTTCTTTTAACAACCAGTTTCTTCTATCAGTTATGCCAACTATTTCTACGCCAGTTGACAGTTTTTAAAAAAATTACTGATCAAGCAATAATTTAAGGATCATGATATATGTCTTTTTATCATGAACCCACTTTGACCATTAAACCAGCCCAACACCCACAGTTGAGCAGTAGATACACAGTGGCATTTGAGACAATCATTTTGCAACCTCTTTACTTCTTTCCAACCTGCTCCTGATTCAACCCTGTTTCCATTCAGTTCTCCCTCATTTACAATCCCACACCTGCTCAGAGGACTCAGCATTTGCCTCTGGGCTCTCAGTTCTAAACTCTCAGTACCCCTACAGGCATTGGCCTCCCAACTTCCCACCTGCTGTCCCCACAATCCTCTACCCCAGAAAGGCAGCTCTACCCCAGCCACCCCCTAGGAGCCAGCCCCTGACCCACCTTCAGGCTGGACTTTCCCCTGGCCTACCAAACCCCAGAGGTGGGTTTTAGACACAACTTGGTTACACACTCCCTCAACACCCCCCAGCAACCCACCACTCTCCAAAGGGAGGAAAATGTGTGTTGGCAGGGTTTCAGAGCAGGAGAGAGATAGAAGATGATCTATTTTGGAGGTATATACCCACCCTTAAAAACATGCCCTTGGCTTCTCATTTTTGGCTCACTGTCCAAATTAATATTTAAACTGGAAACCCAATAATATAAAGGAAATGCAGTAACTTTGAACATCTGAGAGAACAAACTCAAAAGTTAGTTCTCTATTTATAAATAAGAAAATACTCTATGGTTAAGATTTAGTCATAGTTATTTTCACTCAGGAATTTCTCCATTTTTTTTTTTTTGCTAGACTAAGGAAGAAAACTACTTTTCACCTAAATGAGAGAAAAATACTATTTCATTTATATTGGTGTCCAACCTTTGCTGTATGATGTAATCACACAGGGAGCTTTGAAAAAAAAAATACTGATGTCTGGGTCCCATGCCCAGAGATTCTGATTTCAGTGATCTGGAATGTGCCTGGCCACTGGGGGTTTATAGCCCTCAGGTGTCTAATGTACAGCTAAGATTGAGGACCTCTGACAGCCTCTCACAGGCTAAACATGTGTATACCAGACTTCACTGACACTTCACAACAATCCTATGAGATGCCAGCACTGCAGATGAAGAAATGAGGGCTCAGAGAGTTTAAGTAAGTTATCCCTGACCACACAGCTAGTAAAGGTCTGAAACAAGATTTGAATTGAATCTGTATGACTTCAAAGACCATGTACTTAACTATTAGTAAGTGAAGAAAAGCTGTCATTATGGGGAAGAACACTTAAATATGGGTAAGGACCTGCTTAGCAACTTCAATTTCCCACTCTAGAGCCATTCCATTCCTACATGAAGACATAGCCAAGGCCTAATCTCTAGGACCAATCTTGTTCTTAAAAGAAATATGAAGAGTTTGCCCAGTGCATATGTCAGACTTGTCCCCTGGATCTGGTAACTAGGCTCGTGCCTAATGGACCAATGTATTGACATGTCCCCTATTTCTAGTAAAGATGAGTATAAAGCATGAGCAGTGGGATCAAAGTCTTGGGTTCACATCTTTTCCTCCTACCAGGTATCCTTGTGACTTTGAGCAAGTCAGTTAACCTCTCCAAGTCTCAATTTCTACATTTATAAAATGTAAAAAATAAAACCTACATTGAAGGACTGTAGAGAGGAATGAACAAGATAACAAATAGTAGGTACTCAATAAAGAGTAAATGTAGTGTAGTTATTATTAATATGAATATAGTGATATACCTGGCACCCCTGTTCCAATTAACATTGTTGTTTTACTCTTTCAAAAATAGCTTTAATGTTGCTATTGAAACCCATTCTTTGAGCCTCAACCCCAAAGATGTACGGCCCAACCCCTATGGAGCCTGAAGCTTGCCCTCCAGAACGTTAGCCTGGTACCCACAGTCAGAACCCACTTCTGCTATGCTCTGTCTTCTGGAGATATTGAGGTATCTCAATGCAAAGACTATGCCCATTCAGATCTCTGCAGATCACCCACCTCAAGGCTGTTCCAGATCGCCATATGACCCCAAGAAGTATGCTCTCACAGTCTCCAAGTTTCCAATCCTCTTCTCTCTGGCCCATCTTGCTATATCCATGGCAACCCATCCTATAACTTCTGCCAAATAAAAAACATAATGTTAACACATTCAACTCAAACTCAACACAATTTGGGTTCAAGGCTGAGGTAAATTTTCCCAGTTTCCTAAGAGGGACCCCAGTCTAACCCAAAGCCACAAATATGGTGGGGCCAGAACCCTCATTTATCCCAATCATTGTATAATCAACATAGATAAAGAGACATAATACCCTTGAGAGATTTTCAAGGTCCTCCTTAAAGTGTGTTTCCCTCACTATTGTGGTTCTAAACTATAGCCACGGCCTCAAGACCAAATTACAGCCTTTGGCGGCCGGTTTCAGTCTGGTGGTTACAGCAATGAATTTGGAGTCAGGAATCCTGGAGTCTCAGCCAACTATTCCCTGGGTAACCACAAGCAAGTTAGCTGCCCTTGTCTCAGTTTTTCTATCAGTCAAATGGGGTAATTTTTCCTTTCTTCCAGCTACTTCAAAGGCATATGTTATGACAATTAATTAACGCCATGGCCATAGTAAACTCCCAACTTTCCATGCAGTAACAAAGCTATTGTCAGCATTTTCCTTCAAAGTGTAATAATTAATCTTAGGATACTTTAGGTTTGGGATGTCTGAACATTACAGCTGGAGGTTCATTTGGGGGTGTTTTTCTCTACGGTTACCAAGCCACATATCCAAATGCCTTAGAGCTGGCTGATGGAGGCAGCAGCATCTTCCAAAATATTAAATCAAAAAGCCTGGATTTGGCTCAAGAAAATAGCATTGTTAAATCACCCTGGTGGCTTTCTTTAAAAGTGTCCAGGCTTCCCCATAATATAAGAATCTGATACCATTTGTTTTGTTTTTTTTTAATCTTTTTTTAAATCTGATACCATTTGGAAAATATTCTAAAGAATATTTGTTTGATATTCACAGGTAAACAAAGCCTAGTGAAGTTTCCATCTCTGCTTCCAGTCCTAGTGTAACACCAATATATTTCTTTATTTCCCATTTTTCTATTATTTTTGGTCCTAAAGGAATCTTTTTCCCATACTTGATTTTTTTTTTTTTAAGATTTTATTTATTTATTTGACAGAGAGAGACACAGTGAGAGAGGAGCACAGGCAGGGGGAGTGGAGGGGGGAGAGGCAGGCTTCCCGCCGAGCGGGGAGCCCCATGCGGGGCTCGATCCCAGAACGCTGGGGTCATGACCTGAGCTGAAGGCAGGCGCTTAACGACTGAGCCACCCAGGCGCCCCCATACTTGATTTTTTAACATTGAGAAATTCTACTAGCTCCTTGCACACAATCATGAACAGAGTTATAGAAGTAATCTACCTATAAATACAACTTTTAGAGTAGCTTTGAGAAAGACATTACTTTAAACTTGAGTTTTTATAGTTGACAAAAGTGATAGCCATTGGAAAAAGAAAAAAGTTATACAGCTAGCAGATATATTATTCTTAAGAGAACTTAGATAAATTATTACTTACATTACTGATTTTCCTTCTTAATATTGTTTCATATGCCTGGTACTTTTGAATAAGAATGTAAACTTTTGACAGTTTAGCAGAATATTAAAGTGTTACCACCTATTGTAGGTTAGGAATATATTCCATTCTGTTTTTTAGAATGGCTAGCTGATAACTGAAATAGAAAGGAAAAAAACCTCGTAATACTCATCTCCCTTAGTATAAATAAATAAAACTTACAGTACTGACTATTTTAGTCAATTATAGTCCACAACTTTAAATAATATTTTTCATTATTAATGCTTAAATATGTATGTCCTAAAAGGACTCAAAACAGTTCTGTATTGCATATACATTAGATATGGGAGATTAAATCATTTTGAACCCATATGGTATAGTGGAAAGATTATTCATCAATTAGAAATTCAGCTTCCCAGGTCCTGGTTAAAGTCTGTATGACTTCAGGGGTGCCTGGGTGGCTCAGCTGGTTAAGCATCTGCCTTCAGCTCAGGTCATGATCTCAGGGTCTGGGGAGCCCCCACATCTGGCTCCCTGCTCAGTGGGGAATCTGCTTCTCCCTCTGCCTCTGCCCCTTCCCCCACACTTGTGCTCGCTCACTCTCTCTTTCTCTCAAATAAATAAAATCTTTAAAAAAAAGTCTGTATGACTTCAAAGTCTCATCTTGGTTTTGTCACTAACTCTCTTTGTGACATTGGGTGAATCCCTTCACATTTTCGGGATCTAATTCCCTGACATTTATGGCTTGAATTGTGTACTCCCCAACCCCATAAAAATAAAGATATATTGCAATCGTAACCCTCACTACCTAAGAATAAAACATTATTTGGAAATAGGGCCCTTGCCCTATTTAGTGTTAAGTTGAGGTCATACTGGAGTAGGATGAGCATCTGACCCAACATGACTAGTGTCCTTATAAGAAGACAGTCATTGAAGACAAACACACATGGAAAACACCATGTAACAATAAAGGCAGAAATTGGACTTAAAGAGTCGCAAGCCAAGAAATGCCAAAGATTGCCAGCAAACAACTAGAAGCTGGGAATAGGCAAGGAAGGATAACCCTACAGATTTCAGAGGGAGCATGGCCCTGTCCACACCTTGATTTGAGGCTTCCAGACACTAGAACTGTCAGACAATAAATTTCTGTTGTCCTGAACTATCTAGTTTGTGATGCTTTGTTTTGGCAGCCCTAGGAAATTCAAACACAATCTTTAATTTTTATTTAATTTTATTATGTTATGTTAGTCACCATACAATACATCATTGGTTTTTGATGTGGTGATCCACTATCTATTGTTTTCATATAACACCCAGTGCTCCATGCAGTACGTGCCCTCCTTAATACCCATCACCAGGCTAACCAATCCCCCCTCCCCGCTCCCCTCTAAAACCCTGTTTGTTTCTCAGAGTCCATAGTCTCTCATGGTTCATCTCTCCCTCCAATTTCCACCCCCCATTTTTCCCTTCCTTCTCCTAATGTCCTCCATGCTATTCCTTATGTTCCACAAATAAGTGAAACCATATGATAATTGACTTTCTCTGCTTGCCTTATTTCACTTAGCATAATCTCCTCCAGTCCCATCCATGTTGATGTAAAAGTTGGGTATTCATCCCTTCTGATGGCTAATATTCCATTGTATATATGGATCACATCTTCTTTATCCATTCATCTGTTGAAGGGCATCTCGGCTCTTTCCACAGTTTGGCTATTGCGGACACTGCTGTTATGAATATTGGGGTGCATATGGCCCTTCTTTTCACTACATCTGTGTCTTTGGGGTAAATACCCAGGAGTGTAATTGCTGGGTCATAGGGTAGCTCTCTTTTTAATTTTTTGAGGAACCTCCACACTGTTTTCCAAAGTGGCTGTACCAACTTGCATTCCCACCAACAGTGTAAGAGGGTTCCCCTTTCTCCACAACCTCTCCAACATTTGTTGTTTCTTTCCCTGTCCATTTTTGCCATTCTAACTGGTGTAAGGTGGTATCTCAATGTGGTTTTGATTGGATTTCCCTGATGGCTAATGATGATGAACACTTTTTCATGTGTCTGTTAGCCATTTGTATGTCTTCTTCAGAGAAGTGTCTTTTCATATCTTCTGCCCACTTTTTGACTTGATTATTTCAAACACAATCTTTAAATTGAGAGGGCTGAACTCTGCAAGCCTCATCCATAAATATATTTTTATTATTGAGTTCAGGGGTCAACAAACTTTTTCTGTACAGGGCCAAATAATAAATATTTTAAGTCTTGCAGGTCATGTGGTTTCTTTCACAAATACTCAACTCTGCTGATCAAAAATGTCATAGACAATAAATAAATAAACAAGTGTGGCTGTGTTCCAATAAAACTTTACATACTGGACACTAAAGTTTGAATTTCATTTAATTTCCTTATGTCACATAGCACTGTTCTCTAAAAGAAAATTTTCCCCACCATATAGAAATATAACAACCATTCTTAGCTCCCAGGCCACACAAAAATAAGCAGGGGATTAGATTTGGTCTGCAGGCTACAGTTTGCTAAACCCTGTTTCAAGTTGTTAACATAAGTGTGGCTGACTTGGCAGAAAGCATAATAGAAAAAAATATGCAGTCTTTTATCCAAGACATATGAGCTGTGCAACGTGACTTCATATGGATGCTGATAATTATGTTCACAAAACTGTATTTCTCCATAATAAAACTATTTTTTTATAAAACTATCACATTTTAAAATGCATAATATTTTTTTCAAGTTTTTATTTAAACACCAGTTAACATGCAGTGTAATATTAGCTTCAGGTGTAGAATTCAGTGACTCATCACTTAAAATATCCAGTGCTCATCACAACAGTGCCCTCTTTAATACCCATCACCCATTTAGCTCATCTCCCCACTTCTCCCCCCTCCAGCAACCCTGTTTGTTTTCTATTGTCAAGAATTTGTTTCCTGGTTTGTCTCTCTCTTTTTTTTGTCGATGTTCATCTGTTTTTGTTTCTTAAATTCCACATATGAGGGAAATCATATCATATCTGTCTTTCTCTGACTTATTTCACTCAGCATAATATTCTCTAGCTCCATTCATGTCATTGCAAATGGCAAGATTTCATTCTTTTATATGGCTGAGTAATATTCCATTGTATATATATATACCAAACATATTCCATTATGAGAAGTTATAATTATTATAGTAAGTTACAATATATGTTTGGAATTTGAACATTAAAATTAACCTTAACCAGAAACTAACAACAGTATATAACGCAGTTTAAATTACAAACCTTGTAGTAAGAATCACCGGATTTATTCCTGGCTCAGTTATGTATTAACTGTGTGGCCTCAGGCACATTACTTAATCTTTCTAAGCCTCATCTGTAAAGGAGATAAAGGATGTGTAACTCATGGGGTTATTGTACAATTGAGATAACTGTGTACTGCATTTAACAGAGTGGTTGGCACTCTGTAATTGCTCAATAAATGCTCATATTTGTTATTATTAATATTTGTTCTATTTAACTTTTATCACTGAAGAGATAAAGTAATGGAATGTAGTTTTTAAAAAAACTATCATGTAGCCAAATTATGGAAAGAGCCCAATGTCCATTGACCAACGAATGGATAAAGAATATGTGGTATATATATATATATATATATATATATATGTATATATATATTCCAAACATATATTGTAACTTACTATAATAATTATAACTTCTCATAATTAATAATAAACCCCACAATTTTATTAATAATAAATAAATAATAACCATTAATAATCAAATCTGCATGAGGATTAAGGAGTGTACTGTGATGAGCACCAGGTGTTGTATGGAAGTGTTGAATACTATATTGTACACCTGAAACTAATATTATACTATATGTTAGCTAACTGGAATTTAAATAAAAACTTTAAAAAAATCATATCTACAAATCATGATTAACAACAAAGAATGGAAGAAGTGTACTTCATTCTAGTCATTAAATTAAATCAAATATAACATTTTATATCTTTGCCTCAAATACTGGAATTACATGAGCAAATGGCCCAGCCTTGGTCTTAAACTACTTGTTTCTGGGGAAAACAGAGTACACATGTAAAACTAGATACTATTTTGTAATATACTCTTTTCTTAACACCCAATGAGAGAACAGTTAAGAGAGAAAAAAAAAACCCAACCAACTTGTTGATACCGTATGTGATTAAGTTCCTCATTCAAGTGCACTGACAGATGGCAGAAAAGAGAAGAAAGGATAGAGATGCCAGGGAGTGGAGGATGGTGTAATCAAACACAAAACCATCTGGATCCTGTCCCTCTGTGACCTAGTGTTTGTGTTTAAGTTAAACCTTTTGTATCATCACCTGACAGATCACAGACCAAATTTCTAACCTGAAACATTCTTTCAGCAAGCACAGAGCAGCAAAGTATTCTTTGAGGAAATTATACACTTCATCTATATAAAGGTTAAGTCAATGAAATTATTAAAATGGTAGAACAGGATTTGAAGGCTTAACCTCCAAGGATGCCATCATGCCTGGCACACAGAGAACATACAATATGCCCTATATAAAATGTCCACAGAATGCAAACACAGCAATCTGCTTTGTGTTACTTTCTAATAAACGTCAATGAGAAAAGTGTTTATAACTTGAAATTTGGGGGAGGGGGGAGCGGATCTAGTAGCTTGCCACATGAAAATACATTCTCCTTGTCGATTCCAGGAAAATGTCAAATCAGTACAACTGATCCAAGACTCTTGGTCTTCACTTCTGCATTGATTAAGCTGCACGTGCTACGTTTTTGGCAATATTCACAGCTATTTGGTAGTTGTGCAAATTAAGACACGTGGAATAAACAACTTGCTTCAAAACAGGTTAGAATTAAAATCAGCAATAAGATTCAAATCCAACTTCAGTGTCTTCTACTTACCTTCTCTGGGATGACTTAGTTTTGGCTCCATTGTTTCAATGATGGCTATATAGAATCAGTTCTCACTTCCAAAGCTACAATAGAATTATGGAACTTTCACTGCATCTTATTGGAAACCAGCTTTTGCCCATTTAATATGGTTCAACTAACTATTTATTTACTTACTTACTTAAAGATTTTATTTATTTAGGGGCACCTGGGTGGCTCAGTTGTTAAGCATCTGCCTTCGGCTCAGGTCATGATCCCAGGGTCCTGGGATCAAGCCCCCACATCGGGCTCCCTGCTCCGCGGAAAGCCTCCTTCTCCCTCTCCCACTCCCCCTGCTTGTGTTCCCTCTCTCGCTGTCTCTCTCTCTCTGTCAAAAAATAAGTTTAAAAAATCTTAAAAAAAAAAGATTTTATTTATTTATTTGAGAGGGACTCCCCAGTGAGTAGCCAGACTGACATGGGCTCAATGCAGGGCTCAATCCTAGACTCTGGGACCATGACCTGAGCTGAAGGCAGATGATTAACTGACAGAGGCACCCAGTAGCCCCTCAACTGACATTTATTAAGGACTTTACTAGATCTAGAATTGAAAAGGCTGAATAAAGACAGACCTTACCCATGAGGACTTGAGATTCTAATGAAGGGGGAGGAAAAGCCCTCAACGCAGTTAATTTCAATTAAGTGAAGCTAAAGGATAAGATAAAGGTATTGAGTGCCAGAGGAAGCTGGAGGAGGGGCACTGAGCACAACCTGGAAGTCCAAAAAAGGCTTTCAGGAGGGGATGATGCCTAAAAGGAGTCCCGACGGGGCAAGAGGATTTAGCCAATTAAAGAGAGGAGGAAAGAGCATCCCTACCTGGGGAAACTGCAGAAGCAGAGTCACGCCAAAGAAAGCTGGAAGAGTGTGCTCTGAGGAGAGGGACCAGAACTACTAGCCTAAAAACGCCAATTCATGGCCTTCCTAAACACAAAAAATTAAGTGTCTGGACAATGTTATTTAAAAGCTTTAAATTCATAGGGTAAACTATAACTGGGAAATCTATTGCTATTATATGATGCCCATATCAGGATGAAGAATTTGGTCCTAGAACTTCTATAAAAATTGATTTATTTTTAGAAAACCAAAATGCTCCTTTGTCTTCTGGTTGGTGACGTGGCTCTTGACTGCTCTCAGGTCAGTGTCCTCTTTGGGTGAAAGCTTGCTGTAATATCAGGAAAGACAAATAGAAACTCAATGGCTTCAAGTATAAGTCCCGGAAAATTGTTGAGGATTTTTGCATCTATGTTCATAAGAGATATTGGCCTGTTGTTCTCTTTATCTGTATCTTTATCTGGTTTATAGTATCTTTATCTGGTTTTGGTCTCAGGGTAATGCTGGCCTCATAGAATGAATTTGGAAGTTTTCCTTCCTTTTCTATTTTTTGGAATAGTTTGAGAAGAATAGATATTCACTCTTCTTTAAATGTTTGGTAGAATTCACCTGTGAAGCCGTCTGGTTCTGGACTTTTGTTGGGAGTTTTTTTGATTACTGATTCAATTTCATTGCTGGTAATTGGTGTGTTCAAATTTTCTATTCCTTCCTGATTCAGTTTGGAAAGGTTTCAATTTGAAATTCAGTTTCCAGGAATTTACCCATTTCTTCTAACTTGTCCAATTTTTGGCATATAATTTTTCATAACATTCTGTTATAACCCTTTATATATCTGTGGTGTTGGTTGTTATTTCTCCTCTTTCATTTCTGATTTTGTTTGAGTCCTCTCTCTCTCTCTTATTTTGTTTTATTTTGTTTTGATAAATCTGACTAAAGGTTAATTTTGTTGATCTTTTCAAAGAACCAGCTCCTGGTTTCATTGATCTTTTCTATTGTGTTTTTTTGGTTTCTATTTCATTTATTTCTGCTCTAATCTCTGACTTCCTGCCTTCTACTGGTTTTGGGTTTTGTTTTTCTTTTTCTAGCTTCTTTAGGTGTAAGATTAGATTGTTTATTTGAGATTTTTCTTGCTTCTTGAGGTAGGCCTGTATTGCTATAAACTTCCCTCTTAGAACAGCTTTTGCTGTATCCCAAAAGTTTTGGACCATTGTGCTTTCATTTTCAATAGTCTCCATGTATTTTTGATTTCCTCTTTAATTTTTTGGTTGATCATTCATTGTTTAGAATAATGTTCTTCAACTTCCATATATTTGTGTTCTCTCCAGATTTTTTTGTGTGGTTGATTTCTAATTTCATAGCATTGTGATCAGAAAAGATGCATGGTATAACTTCAATCTTTTTCAATTTGTTTTGTGGCCTAATATGTGATCTATTTTGGAGAATGTCCCATAAACATTTGAAAAGATTATGTATTCTGTTGTTTTAGGATGGAATGTTCTAAATATATCTGTTGATCCATCTGGTCCACTGTGTCATTCAAAGCCACTGTTTCCTTGTTGATTTTCTGTTTGGATGATATATCCATTGATGTAAATAGGGTATTAAAGTCTCCTACTATTATTGTATTACTATGGATTAGTTCCTTTATGTTTGTTATTAACAGTTTTATGTATTTGGGTGCTCCCATGTTGAGTGCATAAATATTTACAATTGTCAGAACTTCTTGTTGGATTGTTCCCTTTATGATTATATAGTTTCCTTCTTCGTCTCTTGTTACAGTCTTTGTTTTAAAGTCTATTTTGTATGATGTAAGTATTGCTGCCCCAGGTTTCTTTTCACTTTCACTTGCATGACAAATGCTTTTCCATCCCTTCACCTTCAATCTGCATGTGTCTTTAGGTTGGAAATGAGTCTGTTGTAGGCAGCATATAGGTAAGTTTTGCTTCTTTAATCCATTTCATCACCCTATGTCTTTTGATAGAGCATTTAGTCCATTATATTCAAAGTAATTATTGATAGATATGTATTTATTGTCATTTTGTTACTTGTTGCATGATTGTTTTTGTAGTTCTTCTCTTGCTCTCTTCTCTCAGTTTCCTGGCTTTCTTTAGAGATATACTTGGATTCCTTTCACTTTATTTTTTGCATTTCTTTTCCACTTTTTGATTTGTGGTTACCATTAATTTTTTACATAACATATTATGGATATAGCAGTCTATATTAAGTTGATGGTCACTTAAGTTTGAACTCCTCAAACTCAACACCCAAAAAACAAATAATCAAGTCAAAAAATGGGCAGAAGACATGAAAAGACACTTCTCTGAAGAAGACATACAAATGGCTAACAGACACGTGAAAAAATGTTTATCATCATTAGCCATCAGGGAAATTCAAATCAAAACCACATTGAGATACCACCTTACACCAGTTAGAATGGCAAAAATGGACAGGGAAAGAAACAACAAATGTTGGAGAGGTTGTGGAGAAAGGGGAACCCTCTTACACTGTTGGTGGGAATGCAAGTTGGTACAGCCACTTTGGAAAACAGTGTGGAGGTTCCTCAAAAAATTAAAAAGAGAGCTACCCTATGACCCAGCAATTACACTCCTGGGTATTTACCCCAAAGACACAGATGTAGTGAAAAGAAGGGCCATATGCACCCCAATATTCATAACAGCAATGTCCACAATAGCCAAACTGTGGAAAGAGCTGAGATGCCCTTCAACAGATGAATGGATAAAGAAGATGTGATTCATATATACAATGGAATATTAGCCATTAGAAGGGATGAATACCCAACTTTTACATCAACATGGATGGGACTGGAGGAGGTTATGCTAAGTGAAATAAGGCAAGCAGATAAAGTCAATTATCATATGGTTTCACTTATTTGTGGAACATAAGGAATAAATAGCATGGAGGACATTAGGAGAAGGAAGGGAAAAATAAAGGGGGGAAATTGGAGGGAGAGATGAACCATGAGAGACTATGGACTCTGAGAAACAAACAGGGTTGGGGGGATGGGTTAGCCCGGTGATGGGTATTAAGGAGGGCACATACTGCATGGAGCACTGGGTGTTATATGAAAACAATGGATTGTGGATCACCACATCAAAAACTAATGATGTATTGTATGGTGACTAACATAACATAATAAAATTTAAAAAAAAAAAGTTTGAACCCATTCTTAAAGCACTAAATTTTTACTTCTTTGCCCCCTGCACATTTTAAATATATGGCATTGTACTTTATATCCCTTTATTTTGTGAACCCCTTGACTGATTTTTATAGATATACTTCATTTTACTGCTTTTGTGCTTCCTACCTTTCTTACTCCTGCTTATGGCCTTTCCATTCCACTTAGAGTTCCTTTTAACATTTCTTATAAGGTTGGTTTAGTGGTGATGAATTCCTTTAACTTTGAGAAACTCTTTATGTTGCCTATTCTGAATGATAGATTTGCTAGATAGAGTATTCTTGGCTGCAGGTTTATTTTCTTCCAGCACTTTGAATATATCATGCCACTCTCTTCTGGCCTGCCAAGTTTCTATGAAAAATCAGCTGATAGCCTTATGGGGTTTCCTTTGTATGTAACTGTTTTCTCTTGCTACTTTTAAAATTCTCTATCACTACTTTTTGCCATTTTAATTACTGTGTGTTTTGGTGTGGACCTCCTTGGGTTAATTTCACTGGGGGCTCTCTGTGCCTCCTGGGTCTGGATCTCTGTTTCTGTCCCCAGATTAGGAAAGTTTTCAGCTATTATTTCTTCAAATAAATTTTCTGCCCCCTTTTATCACTCTTCTCCTTTTGGGATCCCTATAATGCAAATGTTGTCATGCTTGAAGATGTTGCTGAATTCCCTTAATCTATTTTCATTTTTTATTATTCTTTTTCTTTCTCCTATTCAGCTTGTTTGCTTTCCATTATTCTATCTTCCTATGTTGCTTTATCCATCCTTCTGCATCCTCTACTTTACTATTTATTCCATTAGGTGTATTTTTTTATTTCAGTTATTGAGTTCTTCATCTCTGACTGGTTCCTTTTCATGTTTTTATCTCTTTGTTGAGGGTCTCACTGAGATCTTTCACTCTTTTCTCAAATCCAGTGAGTATATTTATGACCATTACTTTAAATTCTGTATCAGGCATATTACTTATATCCATTTCATTTAACTTTCTTGTGATTTTGTCCTGTTCTTTCATTTGGGACATATCCCTCTGTCCCCTCATTTTATCTAAACTTCTGGGTCTATCTCTGTGTGTTAGGTAAGTTAGCTATGTCTCCTGCTCTTGAAAGTACTGGCTTCATGAA